ATAAGTAATTATAAATAATACTAAATAATACTTATGGTAATAAAGGGAGAGGAAATGGTGCCTCACAGAATGTTTTCCTAAAAGGAATTCAGGGAGAAAGGAAGGTTTTTGAAAATTATTTGAGTTAACCCCCGTTTCCTTAGCAAAGAAAAGTAACTCACAGGTTTCCCAATCTAAGCCTTATTATACAGAAATGCAAAGTCTTTGCAAAGATCTTGCGCATGTAAGAACGTTAAATCTGCTAGCTGCTAAGCTGAAAATCTGACATGAGAAGGAGCTACGCAACTTGTAAGTAGAGGAATTAAAAGGAAAGAAAAAGTACGTGACAAAAATGACAAAGTGAATGGCACAGAAAGCTGAGCCCAAGCAGCAGGGCTCGCGGTTAAACACCCGCTCGATGGGAACCAGCCATCGAAGACCATGTCACCCACGAGCTTCAGCTCTCTGTACCCTCCCCTGTCTCCCTGCAACGTCCATTTCTGGACATCCTCAAACATCTGGAGATCATCCATGGAGGGACGTGCAATCTTTTCTTCGACTAATTCTGCTGCTGTGTCCCCTCCTTGCTGGCAACACAAACAGCCAGCACAAACTGGTTAGTTACGCTGCGTAAGAGATCATTTTCTTCGTTGCTCTGATTGCTAAACTAGCTACTGCTTATAATGCCAAGAGCGAAGACTGATTTACAGCACTTTTACCAGTCTCTCGGAGAGGGTATCTTCCTAAGCTGAAGATTTTTCCAGCAAGGAATTTATTGCAGGAACATAGCTAATAATTATCGTACTGTATACACAAGTTGATTATTTCAGGGCTGTTTTTATCTGATCTTTCACCTGCTAGAATAGAACAATCCCTCCACACATCTCGTGAATATCTGAAGGATGGATTTGTGAGAAGCCACCGGCATAAAGCAAGTAACTGTCTGAGAGGTATTTACAGGAAGGTTTTCCTCTGGGACACTCTCCTCATCTGAAGTTATGCATGTCCATCACTCACCACCACGCTGTTCTCTATTCATTTTCTAGGTGTGCAAATAACAGGTTTTATATAGTTATAAAAATAAGACAGCCAGCTGAGATCTCTTTCATCAGCTTTTGCTTGCTTAGAATCTGTTTTCCAGTACATGTAACCAGAAGCACATACTGTAGGCTTTATTCCTGGTACCTGCTCAATACGATCACACATGCCCCTAGACCGTATAAAGTCCAACGCCCCTTAGCAGGGTTAGGGAGCAGAAATAGAGGAAGCCAAGCAGCAGAGTGGCCAGAGAAACCCAGAATGTGTGTGTTGGAGATGAGACAACCGAAATCCTTAAATCTGGCTCATTTATTGCTTTGTTTTTTACAGAAATAAGAAGCATTTAAAGTTGCTTTTTATTTTTCTTGTTATAAACTGGTGAGCAACCTCTTCCTAAGAGGCTAATATTAAGGTTGTTAACGGGAAAGAAAGGAAAAAGGAGAAGAAACAATCCCAAGCGCCTTTTCCCCAAGTGTGCTGGAATCCACAAATGTACTTTGATTTATTGTCTAATGTGTGTATTGCAGACCATCTACCATCACTTATTTCACTCTAATTCATAATACACTGTTAAGTACAATGCTGCTCCAGTCATAATCTCACAGTTTAAAAGGGCAGAAATTTTATATTTCTCAGGGAGCTCGTTGGCTTTTTATAGTCTAAGCAACACATATTGAAATAGTTTCGAGCATCCTATAGCCACATCTGGAATACTATAAGTGGAAGCTATTATCTGCGTGAGCTCACAGCCCGTTTGGCTTTCACTTCTCATTTCAGTATTGCCTAATTCCAATTTAGCATCACAGCCTTTACAAGGGTTATATTTGGTCTCAATCTGAGCTCATTTATACTTGTTTTAATGCCAAATTCTGTGCTGCTACTTCAGGTCCCACAGTTAATGGTGGTCAGCAGTGGATGTGAATCTACACATCCGCGTAACAACAACGGTAGTAGGAGCAATCAGACCGATTATACCCTTCTACCTGAATAAAACTTCCAAAATCCCCCAACAGAACATACACAACATATTTAGCCCGCTGGATGGTCCAAATTTTTTTTAATAAATAAAAGCAAAAGCTATCTGTAGTCTTATGAATCACCAAAAAAACCAAAAGTGACTATTTTACCCCGATGTAAGTTTGGGGTAGAAATCACTGTTAGAGTAAAATCATTATTAGTTTAATAAAGGGTTTATTTGAGCCTGGCTTTCAGAAAAAGGAAGCTCAGATAAGCCTTTAACATATCTCTGTTTACGCCACTTCCACATTAACGGCTCCAGAAAGGGATGATAGCTATTAATGAGTATATTGACATTTCGTTGGGCTCTCAGAAGAACAGCAAGCGTGGGCTCTGCTGGGTCATCGTCCACCCCAGGCGGGGGACAGCCCCTGCCAGAGCCCCCCGCCCAGACCCCAGCTACTCGGCGGTGCCATGCGGAGCTCGAGCTAAGCACCAAACAGGTGCTGAGCATCGCCCAACAAAATCAAAGCAGAGGGGGCTACATTCTTCCCACCACGCCCAGCCCCACTTCATTTGTATTTATAGCTGGCTTCTCCACCATCTGTGCATGCTAGCCCTCCTTCCATCTCGGAGGAATTGGAGTGGCATTGTTTGAAGATCTGATTAAATAGCCAGAAAAAAGTAATCCATCATTTAAAAAGGGAAATGGAGACAGTTTACAATGCTGTCCTATAGCTCTTTAGGATTTTCTTCATTTTCTTCTATTTTAATTTTAATCCAATGCCAAACATAATAAACACCAACACAGGGCGTAAAATTTATTGACAGCATTTCACTTGCAATGACTAGCTAGGAGCTGCAATGAGTTACCCGGTTTCCCCAGGATGATCCTAGCACCAGATTAAACCCCACTAAATAGGAGATGGCCCATTTCCTTCAGATGTTCCTGCTTGTAAATATAATCCAAGTGCACAAACTAAATGTGAGATTCAGCTTAAAAGAAAGCAGAAAGAAAACAAACAAAAAACAAAGGCAAAACAAATGCGCATCTCCCCACAGCGAGATCTGAAGTGGAGCAGGTTGTTTCTGAGCAGGGTGATGATCCCAGTCAGCCTTCCTCAATATCACATAGACATTTTTTCTGCCAGTGAAATCTAGTTTGAAAGTGCCTTCTCATTTTCACATTCGTCCCCAAGGGAAGATAACCTCATCGTCACCTCTGGTGACTGCACAGAGGGAAACGCTCATCTGGCAAGATCCTGCACCGCACCAGGTGGAGGGCACGTACCGAAGTGGGAACCCAAATAAATACCTGCCTCTTGATCCCGATAGCCAACCACCAGCCGCAGTTAGCCAGGTAGCACTGCAGAGCCCCGGCTGGAGGGTCACACTAGCAGGAGGAGGAAAATAATAATGACTTTATGGACATTACATTTCTTCTCCATTTACCCCACTCCCTCTAAGCTGCATAGTTTCATGGCTGCAAAGTATCCGCGGCATGAGCGTCTACGTAAGAGGGAGAGAGGAGCTGAGAGGTCTCTGACAATTCTCCAGTTGCTACTGGAGTTGTTTTCAGGCAGTGGAGAGAAAACAAAGAGAAGAGGCTTGTAAAGGAGATGCTGAATCACAAGGGAGAAGGAATAAGAGGGAGGTGAGCCTCAAAGATGTGCAAAATCCATTCATTTGGGACCAAGGCAGAAAACAGAGGGAGAAACCTTAGCTCTGTTCCCATTTTCATTTGCCTTAAGTATTTGCATGGAGGGGACTTTGCAAACTGGGGATCTGAGGCTTCTGGTGGTGCTTACTACTCACTTTTGTCTACCAGGTGATCTCAGCTATGGCCATGTGGTACTGCCACCTCCCTCTGTACTGCCTGGAACCACTCTGGAAAATAGCTCACAGGGCTGAACTTTGATGGATCTCAGCAAACATTCCTTCTCCGCATTCAGAGAGGAGTCCTTAAGAGTCAGACTACTGCAGCTAACAAGAACGTGGACCATGGCCATACTCATTTCTCCATTTCCAGAAGGCCAGATTTTTGGCAAAGCTTTAAAACTTCACACTGATGCTGTGTGGAAACTTTTCAAAGGATTTCCCTAAGAAATTCTATGGTACAAGCTATCAGGGTGGTTAATTGATCTCAGTAGGGCTGTCTCAATTGAATATTTGTGGGCTACCAAGATTCTGCTCTTCCCAGTCCAAATTGGAGAACGAACAACGCTTCAGCATTTGCTCTTGTTCTCAGCTTACTGGCATAATCCATGAGAAGCACCAAGTGTAACCTGCAGCCCAGTGCAGGTCATTAATCATTTACAACCCAGAAACTTCGAAAGGCTTTTATCCATGTTTTACATATCACCTAGCTTAAGATGAAGACATCTTTCCTCTACTTAAAAACCCATGAAGCAGTAAACACTTATGCTGCTGCACAGTGCACTCTGTAAAATCAAACACCTATTAATTTCAGAGCAACAAAAAAACCCCCCTCATCCTTCCAGCATGTAGACAAAAACCTTCTGATCTCAACGGTTGGTTGCACTTGATATCCCACTGCCAAACTGTTCTTTTTCTTCCTCTCTTTTTTTTCCTCTTCCCTTTCCCCGAGACAAATGTTCTACAACAGCTTAATGCAGAACTATATACGATATAATTTTCTATCGCTTATGGACTACTTTATTCCATCACCTCACCCATTTGTGATCACCTTCTCATATTACCCACCAATAGATAGAAAGACATAGCCGTTGGCTTTTCATGCAGGTTTAGTTGGCCTCCAGGGTAATTTCTAAGACAAGGCCAGCATTTGTAATTGCCCTAGTGAACAAAATGCCTCAAACTATCTGATAGCCTGGACACGCTTTTAACTACAGCCAGCCAGCTGGATAAGTAAGAGGGAGTAAAGAATAGTAGCTGCTCATTTGGGATTTTTATGTTAATAACATTAATTACATCTACAATTCTGTATGTCCTCTGCATCTTACCAGGCTCTGGGATGATTAGCTGTGCACTGGCCTGTGCGTTTCCAGCTTCATTTTCAGCTACACACTGATAAAAACCTTCATCTGACTTTACCAAGCCCAGAATCCGTAAGTTGCTGCCACCCTAGAGAGACAGCAAAAGAGAAAGAAAGGAAGTGGAGAGAATTAATTAGAAAAACACCATCCAAAGTGAATGCGGATTATAAACTCCTTCCAGAACAGCTATATTCTGTGAAACGTGGTACTGCGTATGTAATCTCAGCTCCAGCCCACATAGCCCTGGTCCTCAGAGGGCTGTAACCACAAGCCCTTTCATCAGGAATCTCTTGACACCTTGTGGTCTTTGCACTTTGCTTGATGGTGCCTATGGCCCAAGGGTGAATTCACTTTCCTGCACAGAGTCCATCCAACACCCTTCTCAAGACTTAAGCTCCAAATTGCAGCCATCGCTCGAGTAGCGCTCTGAATACTGTCTTGGCCCTTTGCTGCAGGGAAGATTTAAAAGAACTTTCAACTTCTGCATCTTTGAACAAACACTGTTCTGAAGGTGAAACCCTCCTTATGGTTTGAGGCCTGGAGATGCTCAAGAAAAGGTCACTCTATGCTTACGTCATTTGGAACAGATTTAACTTTTAACTTCTGTTAGCACAAGCAGAAACCAATTATGTTGGGTTAAAAAAAAAAAATCTCAAGTGAGGGGTATGCTCTGGCTGAAACGTACCTTCCGTTAGCTATTAAGTGAAATAATTTTCTAACACCTCCACCACACAACCATGACAGCAATAGAGCTGTCCTTTCCTTGGACAGCCTCTGGCTGCTTTCTAATAAGCAATGACGTATTAAAAAAAAAAAGATTAAATTTGCTATTGTATACGGCAGAATAGTCTATCCTGCATGAAAGCCACGTTAGAAAGAATCTTTTTTTTTGATAATTTATTAAAAGACACAATGATAATCAATATTATTTGTTACAAGGTGAAAAATTAGAAAGCACTGAACCAAGCCACGTCTCTGAACAAGCCGCACCTCATGGTCTATGGACATCTTCACAGCGGCTGAAGTTTTCAGGGGTGTTCCCCAACATCTCAGCTCACTTACAAGTGACACTGCTTTCAGGAGAGGCCAGCTAAACACAGCATAAATTCTTAGCCCATATAATAGTGACATTTAAACTAAAAGAGATTGGAGTCCTGAATGGGTATCTTACTTTGGGTAGGGTGCACAACAATTCTCTTTGAAAAGTTGTAGTTATGTCAAATGACCCTCACCATTTTTAACCCCGTGTCAGAGTACAATTTCCTTGGAGAAGAGATCTATTACTTTTATTCGCCAAGGACAATGGCGAGTAAGGGAAATCACTAACATGTGGTAAACGATATTATTAATAGCAACTCAGAGTATGACCTGACACTGTTACTTCTCCACGAAAAGACCAGGTCCAGTTCTAACTAAAACTGGGAGACAACGTCAATGTACTTGACGTAACACATCCCAATGCAACGTGCCTTATTTGTATTAGGAGGCAGCACAAATTGTTTTCTTTGGCAAGACCAATACGTTTACGAAGGCAACAATTGGATCAAATATCAGAATATGTAAAAAAAAAAATTCTAATAAGTAAAAGCCAGTTAATTACCACTATCTGAAAATAGTCGCTGGGAATGACCACTTCTCCATTCTTGATCCACTCCACCGTAGGAACAGGCTTACCAGAGACGGCACATTCAAACTCGATATCCATACTCTCGTAGGCATAAAGATTTGAAGGGCGAATTAAAAACCATGGTGGAACTGCAAAAAAGATGGGGAAAAAAATGAACGTGGCAATGAATGGATATAAACTAAGACTTAGCAAGTAAATAATTTCAATAAGCCTGAAGAATATTAGACATAAATAGGAAACATATCTGTAATTCAAATTATTCTCTTTAACCCTGAGCCTATTAAAAATGAAACACTAAGGAAAACATTTATTCTAGAACATACACTTAAACAGTTGATGTTAACTTTTTTTTTTTGCCAAAAGAAAGAATTAAAACCTCAATTTAGAAGACATGTAAGACTTATGTATAACAAAATATATACATCATTCTCACTAAGCGAGTATGGGGGTAATAAGATCTCACTCATTTCAAAGGATCAGATGTCAACTGCATACGTAACAAGGTCCTACACGTCAACATATGGACAGGCACATACAGTACGAGACAAGTGCACTGACAAATGACACGGAACTAGAAGTATTTAGAGTAGAGACATTTTCATATAACCAAGAAGGACTTCTGACTGGGTTTATAGAAGATGAGGAGATAATCAATAACCAGGGAATCTGTCCCTAGTGATTGGAAGAAGAAAAAGGTTGAGTTATCTTTACTGAAAATGAATTCTTATTAAGGCAGCAATTATCTGTTGCCTTGTATTACTATAATGTATTCACAGTTTTTCAGTATGCTATATGATATGCTAATTTAATTTAATTTCATCATTATTGTAATACGAGGATGATAGAAATTAGCAATTTAAGGAAAACTGTTAATAACATCGTATTTCTAACGAGGCCCACCCCCCCACGTCGTACTGAAAAACACAGGCAAGAACTCAGCAGCCCACGTACATTTTGTCAGTTTTTGCAGGGGAACGATGGTCTCTGTTTTGAATATCCATAGTTGCCAGGAAGCCAGAATAGATTAATTTTTAAGTACCTTCCATGACTTATCATTTCAGACAGAAAATCCAATTCTATTTCTTAAGCCATCATTCCCGATGTCTGATTATAATATTTATAAAGCCATAATATCAACAAACTCTCTAAATTAAAAGAAGGTGAAGATTATAAAATAAATTGCACAGAAGCTAAGAAACGTTCGAATCGAGGCTGCCCTTGGCTCCCTAACTCAGGCCCCAGGTTTGCAGGGATTACAGCGCACTCCTCAATTCTGATCAAATTCTGTTTCTTCGCAGCCTCCCTCGGCAAATTCGGGATTTCATTTCAAGCTTCCTATTTACTACATGGCTTCGTGCTTTCTAGTTTTCAAACTTTTCTCTGCAAACAAAATGATTCATTTCTCAGTGAGGTTTTTTCTCTGGTTCCTATTTCTACAATACGATCCACAAACATTTTTAAACTTGTAGGAGTTGGACACTAAGAGGTGCTACTAGCCAAGCTACCAGTGAAAGGGCAAAAGTACCCCCCTCATTTTTCTTGTCCAGTGAGGTACGATTTAGAGCAGTCTCTGTTACACAGTACTCAAGACACTAACGTGGGGTTTTTGCACATCAAACCAAAAAGTCCCATTGGGGAGGCAGAAAACGAGGACAACAGTTGCAACATATGAACACGTGGTGTAAGTGACCAAACCCGTGTCCCATAAGAATACTACGGCAGATGTACAGATAAAATTGTGGTTTTCAGAGTTTGCATTTCATCACCTTAACTACAAAACTCTTTTTTCGTCTTATTGGCAACAGAGTTTCCAGCTTTGGCAATAAATGAAGGCAGAGCCCTGGACATCATCACTTCTTCAATCATATGCTCCCAATTAATCCTGAGTGCTCTCCAAACTTGTGTGCACAATGAGGTAGAAATACTTTTGAGAAAATGACATTATTGTATTTAAAAGCTGCATATAACGCATAAAACCAAGCAGATCAAAGTAAGACTGCAAAGTTTCTATGTCAGCGTTTTCTTGATTTTAGCAATTGTTTCTGCTTTTGAGCTAAGTTACCTACACCTGAATAAGCATCTGCCCTGGGCCCCTCCAGCACTGCTCCCATGCCCCATCTTCTCTATTCCTCTTTCAGATTGGTCTCATTTACCATATATTTAATAATTTAGGATACCTGGAAGCTCCCGATCCAGTTCGGATCAAACCCAATGCGTGCAAATTAAAACTGATGAGGTGTCCCGATTAACTTAGCTGCCTAATTTCCTATCGAAAAGGCTCAGACGGATGCGTGTGTTTGGCTCAGAAAGGCTCCAGGCTGGGCTCTCCTTGCTCTGCGGCCATGCAGACATTAAATCAGGGTCTCCAGACCACACAGCCACAATGCAGGAAATGTGGTAGATGATTTTTCAAATAAAACATCACTCATAAGGGAATACCGGTAGCTAGGATGCTGATCACGAGGTTTTTAAAAAAATAGCATCACTTACACAAGGGATATACAAAAAGAGACAATTTAGTGGCAGAGCTATGAAGAATCAGCGTTGAATAGGATGGCTCAAGGAAAAAGAAACTGTTTGGGTAAGAAAAAGCTGAAGAAAAAAGATTTAAGACGGAATCACATTCATATGTTAATTTTTAACACTTTTTTTTTTTAACACTAGAGTCCTAGTATAATTTATTCAACAAACTCACATAAAACACCAGTATCTATGCAGTTTATAAACCATACGATTTTTCAGAGCTCTGACAGAATCATAAACTACTCAATCTTCATTAGTGTGGTTTATTGCGATGCCACCAGAAGCCTGCAATTAATTTATAGACTTGTAATTCATAGATTCCTGCCAGTTTTTCTTTACGACACACACGCTCCAAGACCCTGACCCCGCTTGCCTGCAGCTTTTCATTCCCTCCACCAGAACTGTTGCTCCTCTTCCCCTATTTCTCTCCCTTTTTTTTAATTGCTGGCATTTTTCTAGACTGCTAGAAAGCTTGATGCTTCTTTTTTTTTTTTTATGATCTACGTTCAGTATATGTATATCTGGGTGTTGAGTTTCATACAAAATGGATGTATTTAACAATTATAACGCACTCACCAACACCTTTCCTGCACTGGGAAATACAGGTGTGCCCTGTATTTTTCCTAAGGACACCATTAAAGTGAGTAATTTGCATAATTACTTTGGTGGAAATTATGCAGTATTAAACACAGGTAAGACATCACAAATAAGGACAACCCTAAAGCAAACAGATGTAACACATTTAGACGGGAAATATGTATGCATATATATATATTAAAAACGTCAAGCACTATAAATATACATTCTATAAATATTTTATATATCAATAAATGTCAAGCACTGCCATATTTGCTCTCTATATGTTTTTTTGTCAGTACTGAATATTTTAAAGGCATGCATATGTGAAGAAGGCTGGTGAGGAGGGTTGCAAAGGAAATAAAAACACATGCTGTTTTCATGTTCCTTCTAATTATATTGTGGCAATATAAAAAGGCTTGAACAAACTGCAGACTTTTTTCCCAGAAAACTTACAATGTTTCACAGAAATATTTTTTAGCAGAAAATGTCTGTGAATTGTTAGAAAGTGGGAGTTTAGTGAGATTTTTCCAGAACAGCCTTGCACTGTAGGATGTTTATATTGTACTTTGCCCTAGCTGTCCTGGTTTTGGCTGGGATAGGGTTAAATTTCTTCCTAGTGCTGTGTTTTGGATTTAGTATGAGGAGAATGTTGATAACAGACTGATGTTTTCAGTTGTTGCTAAGTGCCCTCCTAGTCCAAGGACAGCTCCCATGCCTACTGACTGAGCTAGGTACACAAGATGGGAGGGAACATCATCAGGACAGCCAGCCCAGCTGGCCAATGGGGTATTCCATACCATGTGACATCATGCTCAGTATATGAATGGTAGGCGTGATCCAGGAAGTACCGATTGCTACTTGGTTATCGGTCAGCGCGGGTGGTGAGCAATTGCACTGTGCATCACTTATTTTGTATATTTTATCATTATTATTTTTCCTTTTCTGTTCTATTAAACTGTCTTTATCTCAACCCACGAGTTTTTCCTCACTCTTACCCTTCCGATTCTCTCCCCATCCCACTGGGGGGAGAGTGAGCAAGCGGCTGCGTGGTATTTGGCAGCCTGCCAGGTTAAACCATGACACTAGCTCTGGGTGAAAGCCTTAAAATTCTATCTTCAGACAAAAATAATTTAAAATAACATCTCAGAAGGTTACACTTATTCCATATCAGGATGAAAACACTTTTCTAAACACTCATTTTCATTATTTTGTGTCAACCAGCCCTATCAAAATGCCCCAGTTGCAGACTGAGGATATTTTATGCTAGATACTGCCAGACAACGGAGAAAAAAAACGCCAAAGGTTAATGGAGATCTATAAAAGAAGATGTCCACAAGATTTTGGGTTTAACAGAATTCATATCAGCAAGTCGTATTAAAGTCCCCACTAAACATCTTTGGATAAAGGATTAGGACAGACCCCAGTGTGCAACCCTATTGCAACTCGGGAGGATTTTTATTCATGTGAATGGTGTAACTTAAATGAAATACAAGATAGGAGCCATTTTGCAGCTCAGTAGTTTTATATAAAAGCATACCCAAAAGTTTAAAGTTCTCTATACTACAGTAAATGCACTTGGTGGGTGCTCAGCCACCGAGGCTGTCCCCCAGCAGACAGCGCATCAGTACGTGGTATCGCAGGCTCCGAGATTCAAAATACAGCAACTTATCCGTGTGCCAGCAGATCCCCAACACCTCTGGGAGAGGAGGATTGCTTTGTTTTCCGCAGTGTGAGAAAAAAGCAAATTTGAAAATTAAATTTAATGTGTATACTCCTGTAACGATCACGCTACAGCCTTGACCTTCACTTGCCCGAAGGTCCCTCAGATGAAGAACGTGCTCTGAAGTCTGTCTGGTTTGCAGGTCAGTACTGAAGCAGGTTGTCATTCTGCGTGGTCTTCTAAATAACTCCTCGACTAAATAACTCCTCGACAGGCTGCGGGGGAATTCTGCGATGCTGCGGAAAGCAGGTGCAGGTCTGGGTCTCGGGTCTCAAACACCGGCTTCCAACAAGTGGTCCTTTAAGG